AGCTGGATCCTCATGCCTTAAGGGCTGATTCTGAGGCCAGAGTGCTGTTTAGGACATCTGCCATTCTATGGGTCTGCTGTGTATCTCACTTCCCATGTTGGATCATTCTATCCCTTTTTTATTCTATCAGCTAGTATTTGCACTATTCTTGTTTATGTGATCCCTTTGGTTCTTAGTCCTATCATTATGATCAATTGTGACCAGAAATTGATCACTGGGACTAGTGAGATGGCATTGGTACATGTCACTTTGATGGGATTGAATTGGAATCCCCTGGTATGTTTCTAAATCTACCGTTTGAGGTAAGTCAGTTTGAGCATGTCCCGAATTGCACATCTCTTCCCTCTCTTATTCCCACTCTTATATTTAACAGCGATCACTTTTCACTTAAGTTTCAGCACTTAAGAAGAATTGTGTATTGATTACAGTATTCAACCAAAAGTATTAAGTAGAACAAACCAAAAAAATACTAAGAGGGATAACATATCAAGTTGCTCATCAACAGTCAGGGTGAGGGCTGATCAAGTCACCATTTCTCATAGCGTTCATTTCACTTTAACAGGTTTCCTTTTTGGTGCTCAGTTAGTTGTCACCTATCAAGGAGACCAAGTGGTATTTGACCCTTTGGGATTGGCTTATTTCACTCAGCATAATGTTGTCCAAATTCCTAAGAGGCATCACTTTTCAGTTAAAATTTAAACACCTAAGAATAATTTGTGTGTTAATTACAGAGTTCAACCAATGGTACTAGAACAAAAAAATACTAAAATGGATAAAGTATTACATTGTACATCAACCGTCAGGACAAGAGCTGATCAAGTCACTGTTTCTCATAGTGTCCATTTCACTTCAACAAGTTTCCTCTTTGGTGCTCAGTTAGGTGTCGCTGATCAGGGAAAACATATGATCTTTTTCCCTTTGGGACTGGCTTAATTCACTCAGCATGATGTGTTCCAGATTCCTCCATCTTGTTGCAAATGACCGGGTTTCGTTGTTTTGACTGCTCTATAGTATTCTATAGAGTACATGTCCCATAATTTCTTTATCCAGTCTACGGTTGATGGGCATTTGGGTTGGTTCCAGGTCTTAGCTATTGTGAATTGAGCTGCAATAAACATTAAGGTGCAGACAGCTTGTTTGTTTGCCAATTTCATTTCCTTTGGGTAAATTCCAAGGAGTGGGATGGCTGGGTTGAATGGTAGGGTTATATTCAGGTTTCTGAGGAATCCCCAGACTGACTTCCATAGTGGCTTGACCAGTTTGCATTCCCACCAACAGTGGGTTAGTGTCCCTTTTTCCCCACATCCTCTCCAGCATCTGTTGTTGGTAGATTTCTGAATGTGAGCCATTTTAACTGGGGTGAGGTGGTACCTCATTGTGGTTTTGATTTGCATTTCCCTGATTGCTAGTGATCCTGAACATTTTTTCATGTGCCTGTTGGCCATTTGGATTTCCTCTTTTGAAAGATGTCTATTGAGGTCCTTGGCCCATCTCTTAAGTGGGTTGTTTATTTTGATGTTGTGGAGTTTCTTGATTTCTTTGTAGATTCTGGTTATCAACCCTTTATCAGTTGCATAGTTTGCAAATATATTTTCCCATTCTGTCGGTTGTCTCTTCGCTTTTCTGACAGTTTCTTTTGCAGGCAGAAACTTCTCAATTTGATGCAATCCCAAATGTTAATTTTGGCTTTGACTGCCTGTGCTTCTGGGGTATTTTCCAAAAAGTTATGCCACTTTTGAAAACCCTGATACAGTTACTGGTTTTGTGGACCATCCTTGTAACTGGCTGTGCCACAGTTTCTTTTTTTTTTTTTTTTTTTTTTTTTTTGACAGGCAGAGTGGACAGTGAGAGAGAGAGACAGAGAGAGAAAGGTCTTCCTTTTGCCGTTGGTTCACCCTCCAATGGCCGCCGCTGCAGCCGGCGCACCGCGCTGATCCTGGCAGGAGCCAGGAGCCAGGTGCTTTTCCTGGTCTCCCATGGGGTGCAGGGCCCAAGCACCTGGGCCATCCTCCACTGCACTCCCTGGCCATAGCAGAGAGCTGGCCTGGAAGAGGGGCAACCGGGACAGAATCCGGCGCCCCAACCGGGACTAGAACCCGGTGTGCCGGCGCCGCAAGGTGGAGGATTAGCCTATTGAGCCACGGCGCCGGCGTGCCACAGTTTCTAAGCATACCATGATAAGGACCCATGCACAACTCTGACTGATGTTATTATTAATAGGGAAGGCATACAGAGCACCCTGAGCTTTGCAGTGAGTGACTTAATGACAAGTCAACCAGTAAATGTCCTCCCCAGAGGAAATTCTCTGATTTCTGCTGGAAACTTGTGGGCTCCTCTGGCTTTTATCAAACTAAATAAAACATCCTTTCATATGCATGAAGGGGCCTCTCCTATGGATATATTACAACAAACTTTGGTCTGGGCACCTTCCTTAAATAATTTGTAAAGATACCTAACCAAAATGTATCCTCTTTGCCATAGCTAAAGACTCACCATCAAACTCCATGCCATTACTATTTACTATATATGATGACTGTGTCTGTGTGTCCTGTGATCTGACTCAAAAGCATAAGTGCTCTTATATAACTCACACAGAGTACTCAGATGATGTGACAATGCCAATGGGCTGGGGTCTTATTTGCCATGACATTTCTCTGCACAATTCCTAAGTCATACTGGCTTTGCTCCATGAGACATGTAGTACCCCTCCTCATTTCTCTGTGACAGCATCTACATATTCCATAGGAGCTAGATATCATTACCCTCAGACTGTGATGGCTCCTTGACACTGTTTAACTGAGGCATTGGTAGTGGCTTCTTTCATGAAGATACAAGGAGGATTACTTGAGAAAGGCCAGTTAGCAAACTTGGATGACCCCCATGTCAGTTATTAAAATCTCCAGCCTTTGTGTATGATGAGCAGATGTAAACAAGTAGCCGTGTATTCATATTGTCCTACTGCTGAAAATAGTATAGAAATAACATCGACTTCTCTCTCCTCTACTTACATGGTGATTATGTTTTTTCCTTAACAATGTTGAAAGCTGACAAGAGTTTTAGTCTAAATGTTTTCTAACTTGGGAGACATTTGTAGAACTCTCAAGAAAACATACATTTATTTTTATTTCATGTAAAACCAGAAATGATAAATGGATACTCTGAAGCAGCTTCAAGTCAAGTTATACTTTATATGGGGATTATATAGGTCTTCACAAATACAAATAAATATTAGTGATTTCAAATTAACATGAAGTAATTCTGTATAACATAATAAACAATATACTTATTTTAAATTCAACTGTAAATTCAGATGGTATATTTTTCAGCTGATCATCACTGTAATGAAATACTGGAAGCAGGCTAATTTTATAAGAAAAGATGTTTATTTTTGCTCATGGACTGGAGATCCAGTGTTAAAGATCAGGTAAGCCAATTAATGATGACATCTGTACTAGCAGATTTGAGGTGGCACAGGGTATAATGGCAAGAGACTGGGAACATGCAAGTCCTTGCCTCTCTGGGTGTAATTTCTCTTCTTTCTAGAAAGTCACCAGGATTGAACTGTGAGGGGGTTCCATCCCAGTGCTCTAATCCTAACTACTTCCCAACCATGGGTCCTACTGTGGAACACTCTAGTAAGATTACATCTCATTCTTTCATGCGATTAGCTCCTGACTTTGGGATTTAAATTTCTGCATGGGCTTGGGGAACAAATCATAGCAGATGGTAAGAAATCTTTTCAGAAAAATAATGAGATTTGTCTCTTAAAAATAACAGAAAAAAGTGGCAGTTTTGATCTATAACTGCTAAACTATGAAATAAGTAGTTCAATATAAATTGAGTACCCTTAAAACAGGGAAGAGAGAGTTAAATGAGTAATTCTGTTGCTATGGTAACTTTCAGAAAAGACTGCTATTTGACCAAAATCTTGTTTTGTTTCTAGAATTCAAGATGAAAAATTCAGAAATATAGATTATAGAGAAAGGCAGTTTGAGAACATCTCTGCTTCAAAAAGTTCATGGAAAAAAGAAGTTAAAATACATTCTGGTACAAAAATTGTGAAATTCATGTATAGATTTTTCATACCATATGTTTTCCTGAAATACAAATTATATGCATGGGCTTCATTATTTTGGGCATCAAAATAATCTCTTAAGTCTATTTTCCACAAACTTCTTGAAGTACCGTTGTAGATAGGCAACTGCGAGGTGGTTGGTCAGTTAACTTGCTATGATCAGGATTCTGAGGCTAAAATGCAAAGTATTTACTCCAGTTGAGTTTCAGCCTGAATATTCTATTTAAGTTATTGGTAGAAATACAAATTAGTCTTCCAGGCAAAAAGTTTGAAAGTCTGGCAGGACTTCCTCTTTCCCTCATCTTCCAACCAGAGATAACATTTTATGCTTAGGCCTGCCAGGTCAACATGATGTCAGTCTGAAGATATTATACAGTTCCATTAGGCTTGGTTATCTAGAATGGCTTCATTCGCATTCAAAATTTAAGTGAAGAAGGTTGAGCACAAGCTTAGAGCCTGGAGATATTTCAATACCTGAAATGATTAAACAAAAATGTTTTATCATTTGACTTAGAAAGGGAAGTCAACATAATTGTATTAAATAGTTTTTATATTTAATTTGTTTAAGTTTATCTGCTTTAAATATGAGAGAAAAAGAAAGCTCCCATCCATTGGATCACTCCTCAAATGTCCCCTTACATTCAGGGTCCAGGCCAAAACTTGGAGCCTGAAGCTCAACACAAGTCATATTATCAGGAAGAGCGATACGGAAGCCAGGCACTCTAACATGAGATGGGGGTGTCTTAGCTGCTAGCTAAAAGCCCTGCCCTATTAAGAAATTTTTGATAATAGTTAAATTTAGAGAGTAACAATATCTGTATTAGCTTAGTTGTTTGTACTTATTTGAACTGCTTTCCCTCATTCTGCAACTCTCAGACTTCAGCATGAAATAATTAATCTGCAGTACTTATTAAATCATGGCCATTTTGCACATGATGACACTGTTCAGCAATCAAAGTCAGACAAAAAATGACTGCTACCTCATTGTCTGATGTACCTAGACAAAAAAAGAAAAAAATTAAAGACTTCTTAGCACCCACTCCATCATTTCTGATTAAGTAAGTCTAAGCTGGGCCCTTGATTGGTGTTTTTTAAATATTTTTTAAACATTTATTTTATTTCAAAGGCAGAGTTAGAGAAAAAAGAGAGATTCCATCTGCTGGTTCACTCCCCAAATGGTCACAACTGCTGGAGCTGGGCTTGATCAAAGCCAGGAGCCAGAGCTTCTTCTGGGTCTGCCTCATGGGTGAAGGGGTCCAAGCACTCAGGCCATCCTCCACTGCTTTCCCAGGCACATTAGCCAAGAGCTTAATAGTAAGTAGGGCAGTCAGGATTGGAACCATATGGAGTGCTGACATCCAAGGCAGACACTTAAACTCCTATGCCACAATGTCGGCCACCAAAAATTACATTTTTTGAGGTGGATGCTCTGCCTAGTGGTTAAAATAACCACTTCCGGCTGGTGCCGTGACTCACTCGGCTAATCCTCTGCCTGCGGTGCTGGCACCCTGGGTTCTAGTTCCAGTTGTGGTGCCAGATTCTGTCTTGGCTGCTCCTCTTCCAGTCCAGCTCTCTGCTGTAGCCCGGGAAGACAGTGGAGGATGGCCCAGGTGCTTGGGCCCTGCACTTGCATGGGAGACCAGGAGGAAGAACCTGGCTCCTGGCTTTGGATCAGCGCAGTGCCGGTGGTAGTGGCCATTGCTGGTGGTAGTGGCCATTTGGGGGGTGAACCAACAAAAGGAAGACCTTTCTCTCTGTCTCTCTCTCACTGTCTAACTGCCTGTCCAAAAAAAAAACAAAAACAAAAACAAAAACAAACAAATAAAAAAAACCACCAATTCCACATCATAGGATCTAGGTTTGAGTTTGGGATCTGGCTGCTGATGCCAGCATTTCCTATTAATGGAAACCCTGGGGGTCAGTGATGGCTCAAGCAGTTGGATCCCTGCCTCCCATGTAGGATACACAGATTGAGTTTTGCACTGCCCTGTCCCCACCCCTCACTCCCACTCCCTTTTCTTCCTTCCTATCTTACAGTTCTCCAGAGAGAAACACTACACTATACATAGATCCATGAGAGAGTATGTAATAAGGGAATTGTGTTATTTGTTTACAGAGGCTGAGAAGTTTCATCACAGAGAATTGGCATTTGATGAGGGTCTTCTTGCTGTATTAAATCAAGCCTGGGGCAAATGAGTATGTGCTAGAGAGAGCAAGCAGGGTGGAATCACTTTCATAAACTGCCCACTCCCATGATAACCACATTAATCCACTCACGAGGGCTCTGCCCTCAAGACTTATAAACTCCCAGAAGTATTACACTGGGGATTAAGATTCTGATATTATGAATTTGGGGGGACACATCCAAACCATAGCCTTAGCTATCTATCTACCTATCATTATCTATCATCTCTCTGTATCCATGAATATCTATCTCTACCTATTGTCTACTTACTGCCATGTTATCTAAAGTGATACAAATGCTTTATAAAACTGTATTTTAATCAACGAGATGTTTTAAATATTTTAGTTCATTGTGTTATATTATATTTCATTTTATTCCCATTCTATTTTTTCTATTTTTTTCACTGATAAAAAGTGCCAGTGAAAATTTTTAAATACTTTCCATTATGTACTGATTAGTGGTTCACAGTTTGAAGCATCATGTTTCGAAATATTGCTCTGAGAAGGTTTTTAGTTTTCTTTTTAAAATTTTATTAAAATATACAAATTTCATGCATTTCATATCCAGATATTTAGGAACATAGTGATTCTTCCCACTCTAACCTCCCTACCATACACACCCTACACTTCTTCCTTCTGTCACTCATATTACCACTCTTAATTTCCACAAAGATCTACTTTCAGTTTGCTTAATGATGATAAGGTTAACCCTACATTAAGTAAACAGTTCAACAAATAGTATGAGAAAAAAACACTGTTTCTCAACAGTAGATGCAAGAACTGAAAACAGTCTTTGAATATTAAAATCTCAATATCATTACTTAACATTACATTTTAAGATTAGTTACCACAGATCAGAGGAAATATATTTAATTTATATTTGTCTCTTTGGGACTGGCTTATTTCACTAAGTATAATGGCTTCTAGTTGCATCCATTTTGTTAAAAAGAGAAATTTCATGTTTCGTTTTGTTTTGTACTGCTGAGTAGTATCCCATGCTATATATATGCCATAATTTCTTTATCCAGTCATCAGTACATGGACATTTGGGTTGATTCCATATCTTAGCTATTATGAATTAAGGATACTGATAATTCTCTCATTTGCTGATTTCATTGTGATTGGTTAAATTCCCAGAGTAGGATTGCTGGATCATAGGGTAAATCTATTTTCAACTTTCTGAGCTACCTGAATTCTGTCTTCCACAATGATTGCACCAGTTTACCTTTCCTCCACATCCTTGGCAGCATTTGTTATTTGCTGATTTCTGCATGGGATGAGGTGAAACCTCATTTTGGTTTTGATTTGCATTTCCCTGAAGGCTTGTGATCCTGGGCATTTTTTCATGTGTCTGTTATTTGAATTTCCTTTCTTGAAAAATGCCTGTTCAAGTCCTTTGCCAACTTCTTTTTTTGTAAAAGATTTTATTTATTTATTTGAGAGGTAGAGTTACAGACAGTGAGAGGGAGAAACAGAAAGGTCTTCCGTCCGTTGGTTCACTCCCCAGTGGCTGCAATGGTCGAAGCTTCACCAATTCGAACCCAGGAGCCAGGTGCTTCCTCCTGGTCTCCCACGTGGGTGCAGGGGTCCAATGTCTTGGGGCATCTTGTACTGCTTTCCCAGGCCACAGCACAGCTGGATTGGAAGAGGAGCAGCCGGGATTAGAACCGGGCCCATATGGGATGCCAGCACTCCAGGTGAATGATTAACCTAATCCGCCAAAGCGCTGGCCCCCTTTGCCCACTTCTTAACTGGAATGTTTTGTTGTTAAATTTCTTGAGCACATTATAGATTCTAGATATTAATCCTTTATGGATTTCATGGTTTGCAACTGTTTTCTCCAATTCTGTCACTTGCCCCTTCAGTTTGCTGAGTGTTTCTTTTCCAGTACAGAATCACATCAGCTTGATGTAATCCCATTTGTCAGTTTGGGCTTTGATTGCCTATGCTTCTGGGGTCTTTTCCAGGAAGTCTTTGCCTATGCCAATGTCTTGCAGAGTTTCCCCACAGTTCTTTAATAATGTGATCTTGTCAGGGTGTAGATTTATATCTTTGATTCATTTTGAGTGAATTTTTATGTAGGGTATAAGATAGGGGTCTTATTTGATACTTCTGCATATAGAGCTTAAGCTTTTCCAGCACCATTTTTGAAGGGACTGTTCTTGTTCCAGGGATTCATTTCAGCTTCATTGTCCAAGATAAAGTTGGTCGTAGATGTGAGGATCGAATTCTGGAGTTTCTATTCTTTTCCATTGGCCTACAAGTCTGTTTTTGTGCCATTATCAGGCAGTTTTGATTATTACTGCTTTGTAATATGGTAATATGATTTGAAATATGGTTTTGTGTTGCTTCCAAGCTTTGTGTTATATACAGTTGCTTTAGCTATTTTGAGTCTCTTGTGCTTCCATACGAATTTTATCATTCTTTTTCTAGATCTGAGTAGAACATGGTTGGTATTTTGGTGGGATTGCATTGAATCTATAAATTGCTTTCAGAATTATGGATTTGATGATATTCATTCTTCCAATGTATTAACATAGAAGAGTTTTCCATTTTCTTGTGTTTTCTATTTTTTCATTGTTGTAATTTTCATTATGTAGATCTTTGACATCCTTGGTTAAATTCATTCCAAGCTATTTAATTTTTTGTAGCTGTTGTAATGGGGTTGATTATTGAAGTTCTTTGTCAGCTTAGGCTTTGTCTGTGTATACAAAGGCTATTGATTTTTTTGTGCTAATTTTATATCCTGCCATTTTACCAAACTCTTTTATGAATTCCAATAGTCTATCAGTTGAGTTTGTTGGTTCCCCTATTTACAGAATTATATAATCTGCAAATAGGAATAGTTTGACTCCTCTTTTCCATTTTATAATCCTTTGATTATTTTTCTTGCCTAATTGCTCTGGCTAAAACTTCCAGGACTATATTAAATAGTAATAATGAGAGTGGGCATCCCTTTCTGGGTCTGGATCTTAGAGGGGATGTTTCCAACTTTCCCCATTCAGTAAGAGGCTGGTTGTGGCTTTGTCACAAATTACATTGTGTTGAGGAATGTTCCTTCTGTATCCAGTTTTCTTGAGGCTTTCATCATGAAAGGATGTTGTATTTTATCAAATGCTTTTTCTGCATCTAATTGAGATAACTATATGGTTTTTGTTCTTCAGTTTGTTAACGTGATATGTCACATAATTGATTTGTGAATGTTGAGGCATTCTACATACTAAGGAAAAATCCCACTTTTTTTGGGTGAATGATCTCTCTGATGTGTTGTTAGATTAGCTTAGTAGTATTTGGTTGAGGATTTTTGCATCTGTGTTCATCCAGAAAAGTGGTCTATAATTATCTTTCTCTTTTGTATCTTTTTCTGGTTTAGGAATTAAGGTGATGCAGGCTTCATAGGGGTTTGGGAGGATTCCCTCCCTTTCAATTTTTATGAATAGCTTGAGAAGAATTAGAGTTAGTTCTTTAAATGTCTGGTAGAATTCAGCAACGCAGCCATCTTGTCCTGGGCTTTTCTTTGTTGGGAGGGTCTTTATTACTGATTCAATCTATCTAGTCTATTCAGGTGTTGTATATCTTCATGACTCAATTTTGGTATATTCTTTTTAGGAATCTATTCATTTCTTCTAGGTTTTCCAATTTGTTGGCACAGCTCTTTGTACTAATTCCTGATCATTCTTTTTCTTTCTGTGGTGTCATGTTACATTTCTTTTTTCATCTCTGATTCTATTGAGTTAGGTCTTCTTTCTATTTTGCTTTTTGATTAGTTGGGAAAATAGTGTATCAATTTTGTTTTTTTTCAAAAAAACAACTC